TCCAGCCGAAGTCGAAAAACCGCATTTGAAGAGGTAATTCAACAAGGTAGACTTGCCTGAGCTCTCTAAGCCGATAATAGAAATGGCAAGTAGTTGACGGTTTGGATCCGTCATTCTTGAAGCTAGGACCTTTGATAAAAGTTAGGATCGAGCGCTCGGAGCGATAATCCATCTAACATTTGCATAGTCTCTCCTTCTGTTGCCCAAGTTCGGTAGGCGTTCTCCGAGTCCTGGAGAAATGCATCATTAATAATTTGAACTTTGAAATACTACAATGCAAAATAAAACCATTTCTTACTTGATGTCAACGGAATAAAGTTTTTGAGAAACAGTAATGTCCTCGTAACCATGACCTTTGCAAGAATAACTAATTCCTGCCAAAAAATCATGGATTGAGATATCATTATCTTCAATCTGCTGTCTGATACGTTGCTGAGTGAACTCTTCGGATTGATCCAACTCTGAGAGGTCGCGTAAATGCTCTTTAAAGAAGTTATCGACGTCGCAAGCAAATGCGCGCATTTCACATATGTCATTTTCATTAATCTCTTCTGCAAATAAGGATAGTATGGGTGAAGGTGAAGCGTTACCTATAGCAGATTTATTAGATTTTAAACTTTCAATTCTCTGAGATAATTCCTCTTCATGAATTTATAGTTATCAAATGGTTCTTATCCATAAGGCTTTCAATTTCGTGTTCAGCCGGCGTCCCGCATGCACTGGGCAAAAGTTCTGTGAGTCATCACGCCGGACCAAATAACAACTTGGGCAACATCAGTGATTGCATGGGAACTGGTTGAAATATTGAGCGAAAGAGGTGGATACAAATATAACTCTTTCATTTCAAATAGCGTTAAATATATCGGTCTATAATTCATCTAGTTGCTGTTGACCTTTGGAAGTCAAGTCTCTTGAAGCTAATACTAAATCTTGATTCAAGAATTTGTTCGATCAAATACTTACGCTTATTCAATGTATCACGCGCCCTTTGACCCGTCTTTTTTTGGGTATCCTTGTACAATACTAAAATTTTGCGTTTTTCTTCGGCATATCGATCCGTGGAAATTGTAAGGATTTGATTTTCTAGTTCTTGGCTGATTTCATTACCATTGAAATCATTATCAGAGACATGTATCATTAGAAAGAAGGCATATTGGGAGAAATTATTCACAATGCCATTCATGAATTGGAACGGTGTCTTGTTATCAATACTTCAGCTATTGCAACTGGTTGTCGAATGTGATTTTAGAAAAGAGATATCGAAGCACGTCCCCATTTAAAATTTTAAGCTTGCTGGCCGTAATTATTTACAACAAAAACAAATTACAACATATAGGATGCAACGTTACAACAATTAAAACATATAGGTTGCAACATTACAGCTTTGCAAAAACAATTACGGGCGGCAAGCTTACCAGGCCCATTTATGAAGAACGGTTAAAGCTAGTCCATCACGTGATATAATATATCTTAACAATATTAAAAGGTAATTTTAACGTTAGGGTTAGGGTTGGGTTGGGAAGGAGATCAAGTTTATATTTAAAATTGCCTTCCCGTCATTTTTAATTAGTGCTCCAAGAAAGTTTCAAGTACCTGTTTTCCGTATTTTTTCATTTTTTGTCTTTGCTTAAAATTTGTTTTGCCGGGTTGATTAAAAATTTGCGCATCCTCATTTGTTTGTTTCTCGGATAGATTACCGGATTCACTACGCTTTAACCGATCCCATTTATGGGAATATCTCTCTGCAACCACCATTTAAGCTCTTCGCTATGTTATTTATAGCTGGTTCCGAAAAATAGTCCGTTATAGATCAAATCCGCTATATCGATCGTCCGTTATATCGACTTTCACTGTGTATTTATAGTTATTTGATAGTGTAATGGAATCAATATTAACTATGTTTTGATTTAAAGCACAACGACTAAAAGATGTTTCAACCTCTGTGTTTACGCATATATTTTTAATGTCTTAAATTACTTTTATCAAAATTTCTAGAATTTAGAGTATAGAGGATCTTGTAAAACAACAAAAACCATAATGTTTTCTTTCTTGATTCTAGCATATTTTATTTAATTACTATTAATAATCGCCGTTCATTTGTAATCAGACAATGTAGCAATCGTAGCATTTACTACCGTTACGATGTAAACTGACACTTTTATAGCTTCTATTTGGAAATAACGATAATAAAAGACACTTCATTAATACATAAATGTATGTTGTAGGTGTAATGTGTCTGTCATTTTCATGTGAAATGCTTACGTGTAATACGAGTAATGTTAACATAAATGTTGTAGTTATATCTCTTCTTTTGACTATTGAGTATTCGTTTGTAGCTGGGTTTTTGGTTATTAACACCTAACTGAACAGTAGAGCAGTCAGAATCTATTTGAAGAAAAGGCATTATGTTTATACTTTAAAATTACCTGGTTTATAAACTTTAATATAAATAGCTTTGAATTATATAATGATCAAATGTATTTTCTCCACGATCTCACTCATGATAATAATGCAACGATGTATTATAATTGTCCAAAAGCCTCTTTTTGAAGCTTTTCAATTTTCGCATATTCTTTATTAAACGGTCGATATCTTTAGTTTCGCTAGACCACTCAGTTTTCAGGGTGAACTTCATGACGCACGCACAAATTCCTCTTGATGAATCATACGCAGACCTTGTATATTTTAAATTTTCTTTCCAATTCAATTATTCGTATATATTTGTCGCCCATTACTATCAAGTATTCATTTGTAGCTGGGTTTTTAGTTATTCCATAATATATCATTTGATTAATTATACTAGCAGTCAGAATCTATTTTGAAAAACTTAATTGGGTAAGCAACAAAAAGCATCCTACGTACACTTTAGAAATTGATCAATTTTATTTTGCTAATAAATTCTAATCTAATTTGTTTTGAATAACGTAGTGGTTTCAACACAATTTTACGTTGTTGGATCGTTTAAGTTTAATTTCTTCATGATCTCACTGAGAATATGTGGTCCGTACAACCAGGTTGCTTTATAAAACCTCCTTTGCAAGATATTAAGCATTGGCGAGTCTTACAAAAGGAATCCATTCGAAATTATTTGATCTTTCATGCTTTCTTTTATTAGACTGTCAATATCTTTATTTTCGCTAGACAATTCAGCTTTATAAAGTTGATAGCGATAGTGAAAATCGAAACATTCATTTTAGATTCGTAGGCTGTGCTTTATAATAGATAAAATAAGTAAGATTAACAACAATTATTATTTTTCATAGACTTTCTGAACATGTGTTCTGATTATCACAAATCGATCCTAGTGAATTCTTGCCAGACAGACTATTGAGAATAACAAATACTGTATACATGGACAATATTTCGTACGTACTTTAATATGTATTTGCGAAGATCGTCATCTTGTGGATACTTGAAATTGAACTTTTAGAGCAGTCTGAAAAAACTTAGTTGTATTAGAAAACAGCTCTATTGTAATTTAGAGAATTGTAACACAACTTTGCGTTTTTCAGATCGTTTAAATTTTATAAATTGTTCCGAAATATCCTTTGATAAATCTTTCAAAAAGGGATCTATTTCAGCACATTTTGTATTAAACCGTTGGGATCTTTATTTTTCAGATTTATACAGTCCGCGCGGAAAGTAATGGTGGCTCGTTTTTTGATTATATGCATCTGCTGAGATGCATCAAAGACACAACAAGTCACCTGCTGATTCATGCTGACCTACGCTATCTTTATCTGCTGATGGTATACATTAATCTGCCTTCTTTATCACCAAAAAAACTCCAAAGATTCAGACCCTGAGGTCTTAAAGAACTTTTTGCCAAATCTCACACCCGTTCTGCAAATATTTCTTATATAAATTATGTTCATATTTACTTCAGTGAATGATATAATATTTATCTTTATAAAAATATTCAAATTTCAACCATTCTCTTTTTTTAAAAATTTCTATGAAAATTTTGTGGTGCAGTATGTAAAATGCATTTTAATATGTTTTTATATGGATCAAATCTCAATTTTATAGAAAATGATTGAGTATTTTTTTAAGTGAAACATAGAAAAGACTTAAAATAATGATATTCCAAAAGCAGTGCATGTCACAGAAGGTTTCTAGTGTGCTAGTGGAAGAGGCATGGGCGTATATTTCTGAAGAGGTGGTTCTTAGGTACATCACCATATATCAATTTGCATTGATGCAGAGGGAGGCTATACTGAATACTGATACTTTAGGGATATAAAGCCTTGCTTATATGCATTCTGAAAATTAAATTTTATACAGTTATTTTTTACTTTCCGTAACCTCTTTTTCAGCACAATGACGATAAACAAATCGAGTTTGATTTTTATCTTAGTTAACATCGCATGATATATTTTTCAAAAGTTTGCCACTTTAAAATGAATATAAACTGGTGGCATTAGGAGTGCTAGAGTTTTTTTCATAAAGATTGCTTTAATGTTAATGTAATCAAAAAATAAATTGAATTTCTAGTCTAATATTTGCAGTGAATTGCTATATTATATGTACATTGACTTCCAAAATCATGGCACCATTCAATATAAAAGTTTTGGCATGCAATATCTCATAAACTATCAAGAATTTTTAATACGAATTTGAATTACCTTATTTCAACTACCGTATGCTTCGGCAATTAGTACCCCCGGGTCTCTTACATTCTAGAGGCTCAAAAATTGATTAGTACCCACCGGGTACTTTGTGAAGAGGAGGTATATTATACGGGGGATACTTAACATGGAAGCCGTAATTTTGGCCCGGATTACACTAGTTTTGGCCTGAATAATGCTAATTTCAGGAATTATGAAGGGGGGTACTTTACATTCTACTCAACTTGTAACCGAGATTAGTACCAGGGTACTTTATCAAAGGGATATTTTATCAAGGGGGTACTAATTGCCGAAAAATACGGTATATTATAATAAAATTTTTTTAAATCTAAGTCGCAGTTTTTTTAAAAAAATAAATAAATGAAAATTTTATGGTGCAATTTTTGAAACTAATCAAGAATCATTTTTTCGATTTAATTTTTCGATAAATTTAAAATAAAATGCTCCCAAATTTTTTCAGAAACTCACTATCATTTGGTATACCCTCCATTAGCTTTAAGTACATCCACTATCCTTTTTGGCATGGTGTCGATTAATTTCAAACAAACTACTAATATTATCAGGAAGTTGCCGCAAACGACGTTCTATTTCGTTCCACAAGTGTTCAATAGGATTTAAGTCAGGTGATTGCGATGGCCATTATTGTCGATAAACCACTCGGAAGTTTTAGTTGCCGTATGTTTCGGGTCATTATCCTATTGGAAAATGACATCGTCAGTACTTAAATTACATGCGCTAAGGGTTCCCAAGAATTTATCTCTTAGTATTTCTCGAAACAATTCTCTATTCATCCTTCCATCAATTTTACAATAATTTCTAACACCAAAACTAGCAAAACATCACCATATCATAATAGATCCTTCACCGAATTTCACAGTTGGCTTAACATGTTGTGATAGCAAAGGTGATTTTGGATTCTTCCAACACCATCTGAGCCAAAAATCATGAATTTACTTTCATCACCTTTCTCCAGTCCTCTATAGTCCAAAATCACGATATTTTTGAGCAAAAGTTTTTCACGCTAATCTAACAGCAATGGTTTTTTTCTTTTAACATGGGATACCAGACCTTGTCTTTTTAATGAGACTAATTGTATTTGAGAAAACAAAGATATTTTGATCGGAAATTAATTTTTCTTGAACTTGGATGGCATTGGAACATTCATTCGTTTTAATAAGTTTAGAAATATTTCTATCATGGCGTTCCGTAAATATTCGTGGACTACCATATTTGGATAAAACGTTGCCCCTGTAAAAAAAAATAAAAGAAAAAAAATCAGGAAAAAATCCAGTTTTTTAGTTCCGGAAAATCACGGATTTTGTTAACAAATTTCTGATAAAAATCTGCTTAAAAATGAAAAAAATAGAGAAAATAAAAAAATATCCGGTAACTTTGGGACGCAATATCTCGCGAACCACGGTTCCAATCCGGACGAAAATACCACCATTCGATTCGTCTAGTCTTGGCAAATCGAATGGTGGTATTTTTGTCCGGATTGGATCTGTGGTTCGCGAGATATCGCGTCCCAAAGTTACCAGATAATTTTTTTATTTTC